GAGTTAGATAGTGGATTTTACCTGAAGCGTGTCATACTTTTGACTCTCCCATCTCTTAGATCTCTTAGGTAAATAGGGTAACTTCGTCTCCAATGCCCCTTCTCTTGGCAATAAAAGCAAATTGACTCTTTTGGAACAACACATGGAACTACTTCAGACATCGCCTTTCTCTTGTGATCAAACTTTTCGATCATTGCATGTCTTTCATTGCCATTGTCTATATCCATAGAGGTCTTGAAGGCAGATTCACCAATCAACTTTGCTTTTCTATTGCGCCAAACCATTGCTGATTCAGCAGCAATAAGCATATAGGTGAGATCTATAAGGGTCACGTCGTGGTTCATCATATAGTACTCTCTTACGAACTCACTATACGAGTTAGGAAGTGACTGAAGAACCCAATCAACAGCCATCTCTTCACTAACAACAAATCCCATCATTCTTAACCTATCAATGTGTGACTTCATCCCTAGGACGTGTGCACACACCGACTTTCCTTCTTTATGTTTACTTGCCAAAAGGGCTTGAGTGATATTGAACCTTTCAATTTTACAATCTTGTGGGTTAGGGAGAATAATTGGAGGAGGATGAGGAAGTGAAGCATGATTTCTTGTTCCTCGATCGAATCGTGGAATATCATCTTCATGTGGAATGCTTGTTCCACGGGATTTGGGAAGACCATAGTTGTCGAACTTTGACATCTACAAAACGGGAGAAAAACGAATTCAAGTTAGTTGATAGATTGATTCCTTAGTAAATCACCCAAATGAAATACTAAGGCTAGGACCCAACACAATATTCTACAACTCGGGAGAGGGATGCCGTAACCCTAATTGCAGAATATTTGAAGGTAAGTGAATGACGATTCACTAATTTCCACCACGAAAAACGAAAAAGAAATTTAAGTTTTAAATCTATGAAAATTCCTAGATCCTTTGAGATTCATTGAACTTTCAATGGCATGTTTAAATCTCGATATGCCCCTCTTGTTTGTGACTGGGATGCCGAGGATCACAAAGCGGGTGTGAATAACCATGCAAACTTACATGGTGCCCTCACATGTTACAATCACCTATTCGATGTGCCGGTAAACCACACACGCTCCACCGAACTATGACAAACATTGAGTCACCCTTTGCTACCTTTGCTTAGAACCATTTAGTGTGCCGGTAAACCACACACGCTCCACTAACGTCTTCGCAAGGGCACAAAGTGTAATTTCATGGAATTGCATCAATTCACTTTTGCCTAAGTAACTAAGATTGGGAATTAGAAAAACATTTAGTTACTTTGTATTTCATTATACTTATAATGGAAGGTTTCGTCCTATCCTACCCGTTCGGCTAACGACCCTCCACTAGTCAAGAGTGCGGTGGGTAAGAGTGGATACCCATTCAATCGCCATATTATAGGCAATTTCCTTAAACACCCCTTATAGACCAGCTTCGTGAATGAGGCCTACTAACGGTAAGACTGACTTTTACTCATACATATATATAATGTTAGACTTTTAATGTTATATATAGTATAGGGTGCATTTTACACTTTTAAAATATTAGGTGATCAAATTTAACAATTATACTTTTAATTCAATTAAATTGTAAACCTAAACTTTTATGGATTTATTAAACTTCTTTTAATTATACACCTTAATTGATTAATAAAACCATAAGGGTGTGATTTGAACTTTTCAAAACATTACTAGGGTTTTAGAATTTAACATTCCTAATTAAACTTTTAATCAACTTTTAAATTCCAAAACTTGAGGGCAAGTTTTGAAACATTTCAAAACAATTTAGTTTTAATCTATCTTAAAATTTCGAATTTATGACATTTAAATTAAAATTTTAAATATTAAAACTCTTGATTTAATAATTATCTTGAATTAGACTATTAATTTAATTATTAAATCATAAGGGATTATCTAAATAATGAGGATAATTACCATTTAGACATTTAAGTTATCCTAATCCCTTAAATATCTATATAGATTTCGAAAATATGGATGGATAATGCAAGATCTTGAATTACCATATATAACAATTAGAGGATAATTACAAGATATGGGATAATCCAAATCCCTAAAAATTAGGACCTTATCTTGGGGAGGAGGCAAATTTCGAAAATCAAGGGATTATAACAAACCCTAGATTTCGAAATTTAAGGGTTTAAGGAAAGGATTTGAAGATCTTATTCAAACTCTTGCAAATTAGGGTTTGCAAACCCTAATCTCGAAAAACCCTAGCCTTTAGGGTTTATTGGCAATAAACCCTAATATATCAAGTTCATACAATTGAAACCAAACCAATGGCTCTGATACCACTGATGGGTTTTGGTCATAAGACATCCTATGTGCTCATACAAACCCTAATGCTTGGATCTAGGTTTCTCTATTGTACATGCTTTGAATCCAAGACTATAAACCCTAATTCTAGCATATGGAAATCGATATTAACATATGATTAGGTTTAAGATATTACCTTGATTGTTATAGAGCAATAAAAATCCTAATTCCTCCTTGAATTGAATTTGGAATGCTTAGAGTCACAAGTGTCACTCCTCTAATGGCTTACAAACACCAAGAGCAAATGGAGAAGGTATAAAGAGAGAGGAGAGAGGTTAGAATTCGTCCTTAGGACTCCTTGGGAACAAGTACACGAATTCTAATGCCTTAGGGTCTTTATATAGGTGTAGAGATAGGGTTTCAGTCATTATCCTTATCTAGTTGCTTATCCACAAAGCAACCATAAGATAAGCCTTGAAAACCCGTATCCTTTATCCTTTGGACAATTTCAAGGATCCTTATCTCCTTGAATTCGTTCAACCCATATTTAGGATAACCATTACCATATTTTGTAACTATCACATAATTACAATTCAGCCCCTCTAGTTTAATTAATTACACTTGATCACAAAATTAATTCCTAATTAATTATTGAATAATATTAATTAAGCAAATATGATTTCTCCTTTAATATATTATTCTTATAACATATTAATAAATCATAATAACCTCTCTCTCTTTATTTATTTCTCCAATCAAGTTGCTTTGGTGAAGGCAACCCAAAAGGACCATGCACCATCGGGTCAAGTACATACCAAAATAGTTATGGACTTAGACACTAATCCAACAAGAAGTTGATTACCCGAAACGACAAATAATGAGTAATCGATATGGAGATAAATAAAAGGAGTTTTATTTATACTCAAAGGGTTGAGGCCATATGGGATTACTATTATTCTTGTGTTTCACTTTGCATGTTTTGACTTTCTGAATAATTTAATTGGTTAAGAACAATCAAATTATTCGAACGGGCTACAGTTGTTCATATGTTGGAAGTAGATATGAATGAAGACTGTCGTGAATTGGTGTGTGGATTGGCTAAAAGAGTATTAGACATAAGAAAATGTTTGCTGCAACGTTCATGAGTGCTTACGAATATGATTTGAGCATTGGATTAAACCCTCGCTCACTTGGATCACTCCATGAAATGTATCACGAGTGATTGGTGAGACGATAACATCTTATATTCTTGAAACCGAGATGTGTGAGTTGTATCTTGCTAATCGGTTGCATATTGATAATATGAAAACGCACTAGTAACTTGGTGTTATAAAACATATTATTGTGTGTGATTTGTTGAGTGAGTGCAAGCAAGCATTGTATCATAGTTTATCCATTCCTTTTATCCAAAGAAGGATAAAAGCGATATCTTTGGGCCCCTCGATGGTTTAGTGATGATAAACGTAAATGCTTGGCCGGGCTAAGGCTAATTTGATTTGTTCAATTAGTCAGACGTTATAAATCGGGAATCGAGAAAAAGTACAAAGAGAATGATTGAAATCATGTCTTATACGATATCTAGAATGGAGGAATATATGATCCCTTATCTAAGGACACACGTATCTGATAGGATCAAAGTTGACAGCGGCTTTGGAAAGCTACGATTGCAGATCATGATCTGAAGTCATACGCAGAATAGTTATTAGACTTATCCAAGTGGGAGACTGTTGGATTAGTGTCTAAGTCCATAACTATTTTGGTATGTACTTGACCCAATGGTGCATGGTTCTTTTGAGTTGCCTTCACCAAAGCAACTTGATTGGAGAAATAAATAGAGAGAGAGGTTATTATGATTTATTAATATGTTATAAGAATAATATATTAAAGGAGAAATCATATTTGTTTAATTAATATTGGTCAATAATTAATTAGGAATTAATTTTGTGATCATGTGTAATTAATTAAACTAGAGGGGCTGAATTGTAAATATGTGATAGTTACAAATTAAGGTAAGGATTATCCTAAGTATAGGATGGACGAATCTAAGGTGATAAGGCCTTAGAATTCGACTAGGATAAGGGTTTTCAAGGCTTATCTTATGGTTACTTGGTGGGCAAGCAACTAGATAAGGATAATGACTAAAACCCTAATCTTTACACCTATATAAACCCCCTAAGGCTCATGAATTCGTGTATCCCTTCCCAAGAGGTCCTAAAGATGAATTCTTATACCTCTCCTCTCTCTTTATAACTTCTCCATTTGCTCTTGGTGTTTGTAAGCCATTAGACGAGTGCCACTTGTGACTCTAAGCCTTCCAAAGTCAATTCAAGGAGGAATTAGGATTGTTATTGCTACATAACAATCAAGGTAATATCTTAAACCTAATTATATGTTAATATCGATTTCCATATGCTAGAATTAGGGTTTATAGTCTTGGATTCAAAGCATGTACAATAGAGAAACCTAGATCCAAGCATTGGGGTTTGTATGAGCACATAGGATGTCTTATGACCAAAACCCATCACCAATTCCCATTTCTGTACGATAATTTTGATTACTTTATCTCCCACACCCATCTTTTTCCGATCACGAACTGTTTGAATCCTGGGGTTTAATTGTTACAAAGTGTGTCTGATTTTTTATTAAAATTCTTCAAATCATAGAAGCTGTAAGGAGATTGAGAATTTAAATAGATGGGAAAGAAGATGGAACTGCCATGGCGGGTTCGATGCCCTATCCAGATCGTCCTGGTGAACCCGATTGTATATTTTGTTTAAGAATCGGCTTGTGTGGCTATGGAAACATTTGTAGGTTTAATCATCCAACCCACATTGGTCAGGTAATAAGAAAAACCCCTTTTATTGTTCTCAATCGGAATAAAACTATTTTTGCTCTTCATGTCTGAAATTCGATTCTTAATCAGGCCAATCAACTTCAACTTGGAAGCGAGCTTCCATAAAGAGTTGGAGAACCAGACTGTGTGGTAAGTGTCTTCTCCATCATGTTGACGATGATAGTTAGGGATAATTAAGTAATTTCACATCCTCTTTTTTCCAGTATTTTCTAAATACGGGTACTTGCAAATATGGATTAACCTGCAAATACAATCATCCTCGTGATAGGAGAGGTGCTGGACCAGTGGTGTTAAACATGGTTGGGTTACCTATGAGATAGGTTGCTATTTACTAATCTTGATTTTCAATTTCTATTTTTCTTTAAAATGATAGTTTAAACTAACTTATAAACACTTAATTAGGAAGAAAAATCTTGTGCACAGGATATTGTAAATTTGGAGTGGCATGCAATTTTCATCATCCACAACCATCAATGGATAAATCTAACATTCAATTGCCATATTCATCACAACTACCACCTCTTTTCAATGGTGGTTCTACATGGTCATTACCTAGGGCGACATATGTTTCTGATCCTATTTTACAGACTCCTCAAACTTATTTACCAATTGTTCTTCCTCATTCTCAAGGAATTAGGCCCACACAAAGTTAGAGTACTTACATGGTAAGGTTAATTGATGTAAATTTTGGGTTTTCGTTTGTGGGTTATGAAAAGTATGATGTCTAAAATAAAGTAAATTGTAATTTATTTTTTGTTGAGTTAAAATATTGTGTCTGATATGGTGTTTGTTTGGTTTTGGGTTTTGGTCAGGGAAGTTTGAGCTCGGTAAGTTCGGGCAACATCTATGGTGGCCTAGGCAGCATTGAACAACCCTATTCCTCTGGTTCTACTAATCTACCCGAACGACCTAGGGAACCAGAATGTCGTTATTTTATGCACACTGGAAACTGCAAATACGGATCAGACTGCAAATATCATCACCTAAAGGAAAAGATTGCTCAACTTGCTGCTAGCTCTTTGGGCCCACTTGGCCTTCCACTAAGACCTGTAAGTATAAAACGGGTCGTCCCATCTACATGATATTGGATAAACGGATCGATTTTCTTTAGCTTTATCTTATGTTATTTGAATGCAAATGCAGGGGCAAGCAGTGTGTTCATATTATAGTATTTATGGAATCTGCAAGTTTGAGCCAACTTATAAATATGATCACCCTTTGATGGGGTACTCATATAACTACAACATGAGTCTACCTAATGATAATGCTAATGCACCATCTTTGTTCTCATAAGGAGAGGTGAATTCATCAACACTTCATTCTTCGGGGTCTTCCCTGTCAAAGTCATCTAAAAATGAAGGTGCCAAAACACCAGGAGGTGGTTCACCTTCACCTTCGCCTCAACGTGCTGCATCTCCATCACATTCAGAGTGATATTGGTTTTGTTTAGAATTGGGTTGTGTTTTTGAGAGATGATGATTTTTATGAGGGCTTTGTTTTTGGTTCCGAATAAAATTATGCAGATGAGGAAAAATGTTATACTTTTACTGCTATTACTTTTACATTTTTATCCGGTATGAACTGTTTTTTTTGTTGTTTTTTTATGGATGATTTTGTTAATTTTATGAGTGGTGATGCCATTTTTGCTCTAATATGTTATTCGTTACCTTTTTTTATTGATGGTAATGACATTAGTTATGTTGTGGACTATTTTAATGGGTTGTTTCTTTTTGACACCTTTTAATTCCAACAACTATATATGAATTAATAGGGGTGAGCATGAGTCACTTTTGAGAAAAAACCGAGCGCAAACCGCAATTTTTTTATTGTTTTATTATTATTATTTATGTATTATTTTTTTTGTGTGATTTTAAAAAATATTTGATTTCGGTTCAAGTTATTGGTTATTTAAGTTTGGGTATTTGGTTTTTCTGTTTGAACCTGTGGGTACAATCTATAATAATAGTATGGTATTGATGCATTATTGTGCACGGATCTAACTTCATGTGTTTTATAATTTTGAAGATCTTATTTGGGAAATACATTGCCAAGTACTAATTTCGCCCTCTTTTGATGTAGGTAACTACAAGTCTACAACTATTGTTCGGATGACATAAAACCCATGCATGACTATTTATTATGGATTATGGAATTTATGAATAAGAGTTTTCTGTTAAAATGCTTATACCAATTGCTGGTAAAACAATTTTGGTTCACATGGTTTTTTCTTTCGGTTACTATTTTTTTAATCTTATTTTTGTTATAGATATTTTCAGTAGTCTATTTGAGTTTAACATCTTAGTGTCATAAATTTCCTTGTTATGTGTACCATTTATATAGCAACATACTTATATTTATTAACCGGAATATCAACATACTTATATTTTTTTTTACAGAAATTACAATATAAATATATTTATTGAGTAAAACAACAAACTACTTACAGAATTTGAAGTACAATGCTATTAACTAAATTATTATTATTTATGATTAAGACTATTTTTTTAGAGTGTATGTTATTTAAATTTATCACCCCGTGTAGTACACGGGTTATAACCTAGTATAATAAAATTACATTGATACGAATGGCTAAGCAGCCCGTATATGGTCATTTTTATTATTTTAATGAGGTTTGCTACAAATTATAAAATAGCCACACATGAAAGTGCATTGCCACAAATGGAAAAAAACAGGCCCTGCTAATCTCTATCAAAAAAAAAAAGTCAAGAAAAAAATGATCTGAATACCTTGGGAAGATTGAATTGATAATGGGGAAAAAAATACCCTGATTCCTTATCTATGAATGATGCAATCGATTTAACATTTCAAGATCTGCAAAATAGTTTCCATAGCCAAGAATCTTCGTGAATATGTAAGAATATTACAATAGATATGTAACATTTAAAGTCAAGTCTGTTGTCATCATATACCTTGCAATAACTTTAATTTTCAGTGTTTTCTTTTTGGTGGCTGAATTTGAACTGCCTCATCAATCAGTTTGAGCATCATAGTTTTTATCCAGTTAGAGAAGGGTTTGCTTTAGTTGTTGTACCTAACAGTCATTAAAAACTCAAACACAAAAAGTCCAACAAAATCGAATTTGAAGTACAATACATCCATGATAAAACCTTCGATCTCTGATACATAATAATATATAAATAACATCAACAAATGAAAATATAGTATATATAAAAAATAAGGTTTAGGTCATTTTTGGTCACTTAACTTTTGGTTTTGTGCTCATTTGGTCGCTTAACTCTTTTTAAGTTTTAAAAGGTCATCAAACTTTTGGCTTTGTGCTTATTTAGTCAGTTAACTTTTGTTTTGGTCACATTTAGTCACCAAACTTTTAAAACTGTAAAAGTTTAATGACTAAATGAGCATAATTTTAAAAGTTAGGTGACTAAATGAGCATAAATCTAAAAGTTGAGTGACTAAATGTGACCAAATCAAAAGTTAAGTGACTTAATGAGTACAAAATCAAAAGTTTGATAACATTTTAAAACTTAAAAATAGTTAAGTAACCAAATAAGGAAAAACCAAAAGTTAAGTGACCAAAAATAACCTAAACCCTAAAAAATAAAATGAAACAAATTTACCTCTACAATCACAAACAACTTCCGTACACTTTTCTGTAATTGATGATAAGCAGGATAATTTTGAATGTCATCAAGTTGCCTAAACTTCCATAAATCATTTCCATCATGCAGTATAAAAATATGAAGACTTGATTTAATATAACAACACTCTAATTGCTAATTCAATATATTTTAGAAAATGGTATTACAAATTTCTAGTACCTTCATTCATGCTTTATCAAATATTGGCAAAAAAAAAAAAAAAATGAAAATAGGGTTAACTGGAGTAGCAGCATACAATCTACCATTTGTGGACATATAAACATTAAAAAAAGTATCCTCGATCTTATTAGAAATATGTAAATAAAAAAGAAACATGTTCATTCTACTCTATAAAGAGATATAATTAAATGTTATTTTTTAAAATGGAATTACAACATGTTATAAGATAAGAATAAAGCCATCAATGATAATGACATCATGACTGTTGGAATAGTGTCCAAGGTTATTTAACTATCGGTAATATTTTTAATAGTAACATGGTCCTTTTATGTTGCCCTCAAGACCCAAATTGAGTACAATAAATGAAGGATAAATTTGTTTATTAATCATTATGGTTAATAATTCATTAGAAACTAATTGGAAATATATTTTGGGAATCAATTAACAGTTTAATTAATTAAAGGGTAGAATCTATTCAAATAAATGAAAGTTTTTTTTTTTTCCCATATGTCACACTCTTATTCAATTTGTCAAAAGTCATTTTATGATTATTTTGCATTATTTTTTTTTTCACATGTCATTTTATGATTTTTTTTTCTATTTTTTTAAATTAAACATAATATTTTAATGTAATAAGTGCAATAAATATGTTAATAAATGGATGTGAATTTAATTAATTAACTTACCTTTTAATTTCAACATTCTCAAATTAAAGCTCATTTGTTTTTTTGTTTATTTATTAATTTTTTTTTAAATTTAAAAGATAAAAAATATTTCAATTATAATAATTCATTAGTTTTTTTGTTTTCTTAGAAATTCAAAGTTCTCAGATATTTTGAACTTTATATTTAACATTTTTTAAATTAATCCAAGTAATATATGGGTATCACAACTAGTATTCATTAATCAATAGTTGGTTAATCAGTAATGTTCTAGAATCCTTATGGATTAGGGTTGGATGAAAATCACTCCATCCCACATGGGAAAGGAGTCAAATTTTGTGGTGATGCTCCTATCCCACATGGGAAGGAGTACAAAACCCAGGAAGGCATTTGTGACAACCCGAAATTTTTTTGCTTTAAAAGCTCAGTTAGTCAACTCAACTGAGCGTCAGACTTATTGCTAATGAGTTCCAGCCTTGTTAAAGGTCATTCTAAGGAGTTTTAGCCTAGTACACTTAAGTAATAAGTGTTGGGAAGTACCTTCTAAAGCATCTGTGCAATAAATCAAGCCATAATCCCCTTCACAGGGAGTTCACGGCCACAAGATAGAGTTTACGGTCGTAAAATCTATTTGAGCCTTAAACCCCCCTATAAGACTCCTTCCCTTCACTTTTCTTTCATTATTTTATTTCCACCTCAAGAACACTTTCAAATCCTCTCAAGTATCATCGGGTTCATCATCTAGATCCTTATATATATACATATATGTATATATATATATATAAGTGTTCTAACCTTTGATTAGTTGATATCCTTCATTAACTAGTATCATTCCATGATTTCATCCATGAAATCATTCCATTTTGTTAGATCTCCAAGAACACCAAGAGCACCAAGAACACACACTTGTTCTTGGTGGCCGAAAACTCCTCAAAGACACTCCAAAGTATGATTATTCCATCTATCATCTAGTAGTACATGTTAAACACTTGATCATAGCCTTAAACTTCATCAAACTAACCATCAAGGAGAGTTTACGGCCATGAGTTTACACCTTGTCTTTAAACCCTTATAAGTGTGGTGTTTTGAGCCTTTAACACTTCTAGACCCTTGCTAAACCTTAGAACACTTGAACCTTTGAAACTCATTACCTTTATGATCCAACATGAGACCATTTGGAGAGTTTACGTCCATAGGGTTTATGGTGTGGCCGTAAACACCTCAACACCCTCCAAAACATTGGTTTTGCTCATCCTTGTGAAGAGAAATGGTCCCTCAAGTTTCCCTAGCATTCAGACACCCTCTTACGCACATTACCATGAGTTTATGGCCATGAGTTTGCACTCTAGTCGTAAACACATTTTCTTGGCCTTAAACATCCCTTAGTTGAATCACATGTGATTCAACACTTCATTCCAAGTTTTTCCTAGTCATGTGAGGTGTTTCCTTGCATTTGGTTGCTTCTAATGTAACATCCTGAGTTCAGGGGTGCAAAGTTCAGGGTTCAAAGTGAAAATGTGAATGGTCAACTCGGCGAGTCCATGGGTAGACTCAGCGAGTAGGGTCGCGATTCTGGTCGCGTGTCTAGTGTCCAACTCAGTGAGTCAGTGGCTGGACTCGACGAGTTGCTGTTGTGTGGAGAAAACCCTAATCCTAGGGATTATGCCCTATATAAAGAACATAATACCCTCTCCCCAACCTCTTTGCTCTCCCTTGAAGTCCAGAAACCCTAATATTCGTTGTGAGAGAATTAGGGAACATTTGGATCTTGAAGGAGTGTTTGTTGAAGAGATCTTTAAAGATTAAGAGGCTTGGAGCAAGGGGCTTTTCAAGGTTTTGACTTATTCTTCTGTCGGAGCCTTCTTTTGAGGTAATGATTCGTTGCTTGAGCTGTTATCCATCTACATCTATCATTTGTGGGATTTTAGGGTGTATATCTAGTGCTATCTTGAGTTTGGAGGTTTGATCTGAGGTTGCTACCTCAGATCTAGAGTAGTGATGATCCAAAAGAGCATAAAGTCCCTGTTCAAGAGCTTTTTGATGAAGTCTTTTGGCCCCAAACCTTAGCCCAAGAGTGTATTATGCTTAGATCTCCTTGGATTCACGTAAAGTTTTCCACTTTACATGATGGATGGCCTGTATAAGAGTAGATATATGGATTGGAAACCCTGCATGGCTTGGAAAGCCTCTGTATGGGTTAAGAGCTAGTAG